CTTTTACACTAAAAAGTAATGCATCACTTTTCTGAAATTCACGTTATAACTGAGTCCCATCTTGTACATGCAGTGCCCACCTGCCCCTCTCCTCTGGTGCCTGCAGGGCTGGGCCCCCTGCTGGGCACCCACACACCTGCTAGCTGGGCCCGCTGCCTGGGCGGCCAGGCTGAGTCAGTGGCAGGATCCGTCCTGCCAAGAGCCCGCCTCTCCAGGAGGCCATCTGCAGCTTGCTGGCGGAGGTGTCTGCCCTCCTGCGCAGGAATTCCCCTGGGACTGGAATCTGTGGGAAGGTGGGAGGCTGGGATTGCTCATCTGTGCTGGGCCTGTCCCCTGCTACTCCAAGCTGAGTGACACTGAAGTCACTCTAGCTGCCTGGGTCGGCTCTGTCGTGTTGAAGAGGAAAGAGGAGTTGCTGTGAAGATTAAATGATTCTGAAACCTGGAGATGCTGAGACCCTTGCACAGCACGTAGGGAGCCCTGCATCTCAGTGGGGAGGTGGCCAGGCCTCCATGACAATGAGAGACCCCTCATGGGGCGGGAACTCACCCTATAGGTTCCCCTCACACCCACACACCGCTGGTTGTCCTGCTGACACTGAGGAGCGTTCACAGGTCAGGGAGGGGCCAGTTTCCAGGGAGAGGTCGAGACTGTGGCTCTGGGTCCGTGATGGTGTTCCATTGTTTCCTTAATGCCAGCACTGGGCACAGGTTCTGTACAGTTTCCTTACACATTTATTTATGCTGCATGGGGTCTGGCCTGGGGGCTGGGCAGAGTCCAGAGAAGGGAAGGGGAGGTTCCACAGCAGGCACACAGCCACCTCCCATCAGGACTCAGGGGGGTCAGGGGGAGGACAGGTGCTTTGTGCCCTAGGGTCCTGGGAAGGCTTCCTGGAGGAGGGGAGAATGAGTGGGCCTTGAAAGAGGGTGGGGCTAGGGATAAAGGCCTGTGAGTTGGAGGTGTTATTGGAAACAGCAAGTCGCCAGCTGGGTGGGGGTGACTGCAGGGGCTGGTGTGCCAGGCTGGAGGCGTCCATGACCTTGAGGAGTGCTGCCAGGCTTCGTGGGAGGTGGCTGGGTCGGGCAAGCAGTCCCCCAGGGTTTATGGAGCCTGTGCTGGGTGTGGGCCAGGCTCGGCCTGCCCTGGCAGGCTCCCTTGGTGGCACCAGAGGCTCTTCTCTGTGTTCTGGCCCAGCTGAGAGTGCGCCAGCTCTGCCTGTTTGGTATTCTTGGGGTGGATGGATGGGCCTGCACTGCGTCTTTGTGGGGACTGTGGCTGAGAGGATTGAGCTTCAGCATGCCTCTCTGCTAGTCCAGGATGTCCCCTGTGGACATGGCAGAGGGGCAGCACCAGTCCATTCCAAGGCATCCTCGGCTGCCCCCAGGCTCTAGCAGGCTAGGTGGGAGAGCTGTGCCTGATGGGTGTGTAGACCTGTCCCAGGGGGGTGCCCCCCACTGCATGACTTGGGCAAGGATGAGCTTGGCCTGGAGGGTGAGGCTTCTAAGGGGCATATCAGGCCCAGGACCCTAGAGAGAGCTCCCTGCACTGCAGCGAAGACTCAGGGTCATGGGTGCAGCAGATGCAAACCCAAGGTCCCCTTTGTCCGTTACTTGTCCTGAGGCCACAGCATGACTCCTGAACCCTGAAGCAGCCTTCGAGAGGTAAGCGGAGGGGGCCAGAGCTGTGACCAGGCCCATATTTGATGGGGCCCACTGCCTGACCCAGGCTCCCACAAGCCTGGTGCCCACTGGCATGGTGGCCTGCCCAGGGGTCCCTGAGCAGGAGCCAGGCTGCATAGAGCAGCCTGGGAGTTACCTGGTGAAGCCCCTTCTTCCAGGCTCTTAGGGGTTGTGTCCTGCCTTGGCGATGGCACTTTGCTCAAGAGTGACCTGTCTAGCAAATCTCTCCTTGTCCCCATGTGCAGACTAGCCAAAGGGGAACAAATGGGACTGCTGCACTGAGGGCGGGGTGGTTCAGTGGGCGAGCAGGTTTTCTCCCATGGGCGGGCAGGCATAGTGAAGGCAGAGGTAGGGCTGGAGCTACGGGGAATGTAGGGTATTGGGAGCCATCGGGATGTCCCAGGAGGGGCCCAGGTGTGAGAGGGTGACCTAGGAGGCGGGGGTGAGCCAGGGCAGGCGGTGGGCAAGTGGGGTCTAGTGTTTCCCAGGGGAAGCAATCAGGACCTTGGAATGGAGGTGAGAGACCGGTGGACTGGGGGGGCAGGCCAAGAACGCCAGGTGGGTGATGGTGACCTAGAGTGCCCCGCAGCACTGGGGATCTGGTCGTTGTCAGTGGGAGAGGGGATTCCCGGGTGGCCAGGTGCCAGTCTCCATCCAGGAGGGAGACTTGGCATCACCCACCTCCCAGCCTCATCACCGTCCCTGGGTGGGCCCGGGGTCCTCTGAGCCCGGGATGCCCGGCGCAGCCAGCGGCGCTGCAGGGGGGGTCCTGCCGCCCGCAGTGGGCACCTGGTCGTCACCAGGCCGAGGGAAGCCAGGGGTTGTAGGTGGAT